GCGTACAGGTACCAGACTCAAAACAAGATACCTGCAGATAACCTTTTTAAAGCAATGTAAAATACCAGTTTATGCTGGCATACAGCACAAGGTATAGAAGTAATAGCACCAGGTTGCTTCCCCGAAAAAAGAAACCCAAAACCCCAAACTTTTTTTGTGAGCTGTGCCACTTCGCTACACAGGCTTTCTGCTATATTTTTTGCAGGATACATTTTTCTCGGTGGTGTAAGCGAAACACGTAGTTCTCAAAAATCTTCAGAGACAGGGAAACATTATTAAAACAGTAATGCACCTGAAATAATAATTATGCAGGTAACTGAGGTACCAATGTCCCAGAACACTTACATGGCCAATTCTTTCCAGCAACAACCGACATAAAATTCATGATTAATGTATGAATCCATGTGAACGTATACTGCCTTAAGTATTCACAAAAATCTTTTTGAAGAACCTCAGAAATGTGCTTACTATGAAGATGGAGTCAGTCATGTGACATTTTAAGTTTTATGCAGAAAGAATCAACTAAGAAGAGCATCTTTTACAATCCAAACCCCACCACTCAGTGCTAACAACGCAAGCTGTAATTGATGAAAGTAAGCCTACTACAACAGTTATCAGCCTATCGTTTAGTCTTTGATGTGTTTTGCTGTTGGGTGTGGTATGGAGTATTTCAAGTTATACTTAAAAACAGACAAACAATGGAAAGAACAGCCGTTCTCTTGAATGCTGCAAAGAGAAAATAGGCGTTAATGATAGCTTTCTGCCAAAACTGGGAAAATACTTACAGCGCTGCTATCTGTTGCTCTACTTATCTTGTCTTCCCACAGTGAAGGAGTGTTCTGTCCCCACCCACAAGAACTCAGAATAGCAAAATACTGTCAGTCACCCCAGCCACACACAGATCAGCTCCACCCTCTTCTCAAATCAGATGCCTTCCAAATGACAGCCTGTAATAACAGTAATACCTAAATACAGTATGACATAGAAGATGAGAAAACAGGCAAGAAATTTATTTGTAAAAATTCTTTCTACCTTGTCAATCTTTGTAGAATAATGCTTCTCTTTACATAGATTCCTTCTTACTTGTTAAATTCTTAAAAGCAGCATGCAAAAATAATGAAATCACCTTTAAACAGTGAGACAATATTTAAAGACATAGTAAGCACTGAGCCTATGAGATAAGGTAAAAAAGAGACTAGTCTTAAAAGCACCCATAAGAATGTCAGAATGATATGAATTCTACTGACTTCTGACTAGTACTGCCAACTGTAGGGCAATTTTAGCGTGCAGAATCTTGCAAGACCACCCATACCTAAGTGACCACAACAATAAAACCGAGTAAGGCTGAGATTGCCTAGCAGTGACACTAACATGCAGAGCCAAATCCAGAGACCCCCTTGAACACCTGCTGGACTCTCCATCAGGTCTGCGTCTGAAAGACTTAGTGTGGGAAGCTGGCCTAAGGGTGGGCTGACTTGCACTCTAATGCTGAGTATGAGGGAGGGAATGGAAATAGAATTATAGTTCAACAGTAAAGATACACAGTTTATATGATTTAAGACTAATAATAGATTTACAGTTGTAAAAACATACTAAAAAATGTAATTGTAACTCAGTAATAGTGGTGTGGGTTTAGATTATCCATTATTTCACCGAGTTTTTTCACTGGGTGACTTAATAAACATTATAACCTTTTCAGTCAGTTGCATCTAAAGCTTCTCATCTACAGCAGAAAGCTGCACCCTGAAGTAACAGCATCACATGTAACATGTGGCTTTGCTGGCAAACATGTTCCAGCATCAGGCCACACATGTTTATTCCCATTGCTGCCCCAGCTCTCAGCAATCAGAAAGAAGGTACAGGAGCAGTCTTCATTGAACACAGTTCTGTTAATAAACGAGGCTTCCTGTGTCATTTGCTTTAGCATGAGAAACCTCAACACCAAAGATTTGGTAAAACCTACCTTGGGGTCAATCCATGCAGCTGGACACCCCACGTGGAATAACAAAGACCTTTTCTACGTCCCTAAACAGTAGGCATTAGATAAGGTAGGAACAGTCAAGTACTTCAGAAACCAAGAAATGATGGTGAAGAGATACTTACCCACACATTCCTTAGGAAAGGTAGAAGCCATAGCTCGCTAACAATTTCATGAACAAAACACATGCAGTGTGAAATCACATACAGTTGATTTTTTTAGTTTTTTGGTCTGTACAAACTGCTTTGGAGGTGGGCTGCAATATTCTGAGACAGCTGCACGTTTACAGTCATGGAAAGCAGAGGCTTTGGCTATTCTGTCACTAGTTTTGGGGACTGCCAGGTGACTTTTGTACAGTAGCCATGCTCTGCTGTGGATTTTCAAAATATTTTCTGGCTGGCTTGCTCCCTATGTAGCACCTCCAACAAGCACTTCAAGACACCTTTTCAGAGAAGTACCTGTTTGACTATAAAGACTGCTGATACATATAGCTAGTTGAGGGAGCAGTAGGAGGAAGTTGCTTGTGTTGTACGTGCTTGTAGTCATGAGGCCTTTTAGATTCCGATTTATGTTTTAAGGTGGTATTTCAGTTTCAGTCATACTTTTTAGGAAATATACAGTTATGTATGCAAGATGTTTGCAAAGCATTTTGCATGTAACAGTTGATAGAAGTTATTTATGTCACATTAACAGAATGCACACTGGAAAAGCATGTGAACACACTCGTGCCATTCTGTAGAAAATCTAAGCAAAGGGGAGCGTAAAAAAAAACACCTTAGAATTAAGTATTGCTACTTTGACATAGTGTTATTTTGCAATACATAGACTTCACATCATAGACGCACACTCATTTTACGTATGGATCAGCAGAGCTAAGCAATACTGTTAGACTATCACTATATACATTTGAAAGACCTAGTTTAATATCGCTGAGTGGTTAATGATGAAGTATTCATTTCACTGAAGTTAAAAATGCCTGCAAATACGTACTCTTTTAAATGACAAGTTTCTTGACTAAATTAGGTTTCAGAGAACAAGTTCTGATCGAAACAACACAAAGATGAAGATGTATGCTCAAGTCACGGTAATTTTGCATTCTCTAAGGGCCACTGAATGACAAAAAACAGCAACAGAAAGCACGACAAACAACAATACTGCAGCAGAATCTTGCAAAAAACTGTTACTGTGGATCCAAGAGATACAGTAGTGGTCCATACAGGAAGTCTGTACGTGTATAAAACACTAACACATTGCAAAGGAAATTTACTGACATTTTAATACCCCTGAAAAAAGGCAACAATAAGCTCTAGCCTGGAATATGATGGCCATTCTCAAGCATTCTTCGAAAGGAAACATTACTCAGAGCAAATATTATGTGGAGCATGTGCCACAAAAAGACAACAAAGCACCACCACCCCACCCTACCAAGTTAAAAGATAGTAACAGAAAACAAAATAGCAGAATAGCAAAAAAAGGTCAAGGACACAGTACTAACAAGTCAGTGAGTTTCACCAACTTGAAAACCAACCTAAGATCACCTCCAGTAAAAGACACCACATACTAGTTAGAAAAACAGATTAAGGAAAAAAAAATAATACCGGAAGGAAGGTTTTTGTTTTAGAATCCTCTTACAATAAGAAGCTGAAACACAACTACAGCACTATACTATTACTGCTGTATGAAAACATTACATAACTTAACAACTTCCCACACTTGTATGATATACAAAAATCAAGTAACACAATGAAAGTGTACTATCTAGCTTAAATACACTAATATTTCACACCACCACACAAAACCCAAGTATGGTACTTAACAACATCCTTTTAAACATTATCATAATGTTACCATATTCTTACCATAACTTACAAGGAAGCAACTTCCCTCTCAATAGGCAACATTTTTCAGATTATTATGTATGCAGCCAATTTTGCAAGGACTCATCAGTACAGTGATAAAGTAGTCTGTGGGTGGAGGAGTCCAACTAATCTACAAGCACTAACATCTGATGGTTTTTGGGGCAGCCCACAAAAGTTGAAGGAACCTTGTTTCTGGTGACTTCTGTACTACATCATACTGTTTTGTTATTTACAGCTTTGACACCTTTAAAATGCTTTAAATCCACTACCAAAAATAATGATTGTCACCAAACAGTTGAGTAACAGCTTGGTAATTCAAAGCTTCACATCTGGAAGTACGCAGATTATTTTTTAACCCTTCTACCACAAAAAATACACAGTAAACTACAAGCCACTTGGCAAATCCATGCTAAACAAAAGTCTTAAAATGACTAGCAAAGGATGCCTACAGACAAAGCATAGATTGCCAATTTTGGTTTCTGAAAGTGATTCTCACATTGGTATACTTTTTTTTTTTTAAAAGGAAATCCAACTTTTACTGGTTTTTCTTTTCTTTCTTAAAGACAGTTACGAAAAAGGCAGGGAAAAAGAAGAAATCAATACACAGCAATCCTGAAGCTAACAGGAAAAAACCATGTTAGTAACTCCACAGGGCTGGGGGGGAGGGGGGGTGAGCGAGCAGGAATGAGGTGGCATTGGGGGGCAAAACAACACAGATTTGCAAAGCTGTTAGATACTCCTACCTATGAGAAAACATCAACTTTTAGAAAAGACTGAACTGTTACAGATGGTTTAATAACTGCATTTAAATTGACAAGAAGCGGCTCTGGAATGATTTTCTTGCTGCAAATATGAACCCTACAGTTAAACATTTTACTCATCAGAATTACATTTTACTAATCAGAATTACATTTTACTGCAAGAAATCATCCAAACTGACTTCACATACAATACCTCACAGTCAGTCTCTGAACTGCTCGATATGTGGAGACACCACAAAACACAAGACCCGTAACTATGTTGCTCTAAGTAGCTCTGCAGCAAGTTTTTTATGAACCCTACAGTTAAACATTTTACTCATCAGAATTACATTTTACTAATCAGAATTACATTTTACTGCAAGAAATCATCCAAACTGACTTCACATACAATCCACCTCACAGTCAGTCACTGAACTGCTCGATATGTGGAGACTTCACAATCCAGGATCCGTAACTATGTTGCTCTAAGTAGCTCTGCAGCAAGTTTTTAGCTTCTTGGTACAATTCAGATTGAATCTAAAAAAAGAAAAAGAAAGATCTTGAAAGATCTCAAGAATGATGGTTACAGAGATCTGCGTTCTTTACCACCAGCATACAATATGCACAAGCACAAACCTTGCAGAAAACAATACCTACAAATCTTACAGTTCCCTCAGTTGCTGACAGTGAGGGGAAAGTGTTACAGACTCTAAAAACTTATTCTTTTTATATGTTTGGGCTTTTATTGGGATGAGAGAATTGTTCTGTTAAACATTTTTTTTAAATGATTCAAAAACTACTTTAAAATAGAATGGCTTGCTAATTGACTGTTTGTTCATGTGTTTAGATTTGCATTGAACGATAATGAATGTTTTTTCCAGCATCTTTTCAGGTCCAATAATATTTTACACAGAAAATAAACAATCGCTTGCATGTTCTGATGGGGGGGGGAAGATTTGTACTTTATAGAAGCTTAAGTTTCACGTAACAATTTTGGAAATAAAATGTATCTCTTGAACCAAGGTGAGGAAAACCCTGGAAGAGTACAGAGAAGCCTACATATTTCCAAGTATGGACAGAAGTGAGTGAACTGTGTTTACAGCAATCAAGAATCACAGTAGCTCCTTTAAGTAATTTTTCTGTATTTTTATACCACAGAGGAAAGCCAGGGACCTAATGCTGTCTTTCAGTGAACGATTCCTACTTTTCTACTCCTCTATGACATAAGAATCCTCCCACAAGACTACACTGTGGTAGAAAAATATCCACGTATGTATGAAACAAATATAAAAAGTAAGACTGAAAACGAAGTAACGAACAAAAAACCCCCAACCTTTTTAATGCGAAACTATCTTATTCGAGGAAAGTGGCCAGCAACTTCCATATGCTAAGACAAAACATGGCAGATTTTCATAGAGAATGTTTCAAGAATAATTCAGTAGATTAATTTTACTTGAAAACAGCAATTTCAGACATTCCCAGGCAAAGATTATAGGCAATAAAGGAGATCCAGCTGTTCAGGTGCAGTCTTCAGCAAAACAGAAAGTCATCCCGGGCTATCAAACCAGCTTTGAGAGTAACCATTAAGAGACTCCTCACTAAAACTTCCCCCTGCCCCACACCAGATTACCTTAGCTTCATGGTACGTTGCAAGTTGAAGCAAATCACTCCGTTCTGCTTCCTTAGCAAGCAATCTGAAACGACTAAACATTGCCGCCTTGCAAAGGCGACTTGCCATGTAAGTGCCACTTTTGAACGGTGAACTATAGTCAAAATGAGAAAAGAATAATAAAACTCAGTAACAAAGACATTACAGGCATATTGCTTTGATCACTACAGGATTTTTTTTCTCTCTAATGCTTCGTGAATATGATCATACGATTCTACTTCCTTTTTCAATGAGCAAAGCTAATGCAAATCAGCAGCTGTGAGAATTTAAACAAGCCAACCAAAAACTGTTTTCAAACTGGAATTCATCTGAACTAGGATGGTAATTGGTTTTATGTATTGTGAAAACTAAAACGTTCACTACAACAGACAATGGAATAAAGATATCTCAATTCAAAGAACTACTTAATTTCATATCTTGGTATCTCACTGTAAAGTTACAAGATCTCTAAAACTACATCTAATCATAGGATGCATTCACCTAACACAGGAGAGAATCCCTCTCATCTGGGTAATACTGTGGCCTCCATGCATAGCTTAAAAAATGAATACTCCAATGAACCGGCACAAAACAGTAAGGCTAACCATTATTTCCAACAAAATGAAGAAAAATTCTAACCTCTCAGTGGTTTTTCCATTTAACCCATCCACAACCTCCAGTGATGCATCCGACAATGACCAATTCAAACTACGAGACCTCTGTTTAAAGTCTATTTGAATTGGTTGTGCAGCATTCACCAAGTAAGTATGAGATCTGTTGACCAGATAAGGCATGGGAAGCTTTGATGTAAGTGCATCATCGACACGCTGCTTTATAGCTATTTCTAGCCCTCTGGTATCCTTGCAATTTCCATTTCCTATTAAACAAAATAAGATCAGTCACATATAAGTACATCAAATTAAAAAAATTTAAAAAAGCTAAGAATGCAGACGTTTCCATTGGTCTACATTATATTCATTTTTCTACACAAAAGTAATGTTTGGAAAAATCAGTTCCAATATTCAGTTCGCAGAACAAAAATGATTTTAGTTTCTTCTCCAGAGGTATCATTATTTTCACTGGATGCCTCCTTTTTGGAACAATTATTCTTCATCAACTCTTTACATTCCTTGCAGAAGACAGCATTAAAATAGAAGCTGCAACACAAACTTTGATGTTCTAGATTAGAAAATACACTAGGGAGTTTGCCGACATTACTCCATATCCAACAGTATTTATGACTGCCTACTAAATAAACATACTGTGGTCCACAGCATCTCAAGGGATGGTCATAGAATGTCTATTAAATAGAAGGGCAATACATTATAGATTATTATGTTTACTTTGAATACCACTTAAGTGAGCATATTAGAAGTTTTTCTATCGCTTTTAAGTAGAAGTGCCCAAACTTCCTCAGAAGGAACAGGCAGGCATTCACAAATTCTTGCAAGATCTTTTGGAGCACTTCAAAAACCTTGTTCTGTGTTAGAAAAGGAAAAGCTGCTACATCTTCAATGTCTGGGGAACTCAGACATCTGTGTAGTAAGTCTCATAATAGAAATACCGAGAGGAAGAAATCCTGAAGGTTTTCAGGTGTAACACCCATTAATTTAATTCCACCACATACATAAAAGCTACTGAAATAAGTTCTGATAATAGTATGGTCTTCCCGACTGCCACAAAATCCTGAGAATTCACTATCACCTTGGTAATCCCTATTCCTCAACATCTATTTGCATTAACCAAGACAAAAGGGCGGCGGGGGCGGCAGACCACGGACATAACACAAAACTCAACAAAGACTTTGAAATAGAGCTCATAAGATAGAGCTCAGGGTGAAATGGAGCATTTTCAGTTAAATACGGGCCGTTTTTCCACCACTGCTCAATTCTACAGTTAAGCGACTAACATCGTCACCTTAAAGTCACCATATTTGACTGCAGAGTTAACACAGCATTTGTCACACTTGATATTTTCTCAATATCTAAAATTTAATTTGTTATAAAACAACGCTGAATTTCTTCTGTTACTCTAATACATAGTAAAGGAAGGGCAATCTGGCAAGCTAAAACAAACCCGCAATGACAAAAGAGCGAGCCTGAGTTTTACATTAGGGCATTTCAAAGGTGAGTGAAAAAAAAATATACACACTTCGTACCTTTTCAGAAAAGTACCGTAATTCTTTAAAGAACCATCTTGGTTTAGTTCACCTTTTATAAAATGTAATCAAACTGGAATATGAAAACAGACAAAAACAGACACTGAAATTTGCATTAAGCTTACCGACAAGAATACTGTTGATATACACTGGTTCAATGAAGTGACTCAGCAACGCTCCCTGAATACCAACCACTTCCCATTTTGTTAATTTGTCACTAGCTGACATACTGCTTGCTCTAACAGTTTTAGGTGGACAACAAACAGTTAGGTAAATCTTGCCTTCTATAGCAACATGGAGACTCAGCTCTTCATTAGTTTCGTAAGCAGATATAGATTGTGGATTGAGATGTCTGAAGTAAGACAAGAAAATTAATTTCAGAAAACAATTATCAATAGATCTGGGCCTTGCATTATGTTCAGTATTTGTAAGTTCTAGAAACACCACATTCAGCTGCTCAAGTGATTAGAATACTGAAATCAAGTAAGAAATAGTAATTCAACTTAATCTTAGCCATCAGTTGTGCAAACATTAAAAAAGATCAGCATATGCTGCAAACAAGCCATCGCTTGTGTCTGCTTACACTATGACAGAAGTTACTTGAAGGCTGTTCATCTTGTGAAAAAAGCAGATGAAGGTTGTTAGTCTCCTTTAAAACATAACTTACACTGCAATTCTTCAAAATATTTAAAACAAGCAGATGCAACACATTAGGGAGACAAAATAGTGATCGTTTGGAAGCAGAACAGTTTTCCCCCTTAACCAAAGACGGATAAGAAGTCAAAGCCTGAAGTTTTGAGCTAACTCTCCCCAATTTTATCATCACTTACAATGTTATGATCAAAGGTGCTTGTGCTTTACTACGTTATTATAAAGCAACCATTTAATTTTGGCTTAAGTAACGTACTACTTATGTATGTGGCCTGTTAGTAAGTGGCCACATTTTGCTACTCAATGGTTTACTTGCAAGTCCCTTCTAAAAACTATCTTTAAATAACTCTATACATAAGCAAATCTGCTGTATTAGAAGAAAATACTTCCCAGAGTTAGTCTCAAAGAGAGCACACGCCAAAATGGACAAAAAGCAGGAGAAAAAGTGCTGAATCTGTGATCCGTCAACTATTACAGGGTGGCTTACAAACTGCATCCAGACTCATCAACCATTTCCTTCTAAGAGCAGGCTATGATGCTGAAAGTAATCTAAAACCTTCTGCAATTCTAACAGGAGGGGCTCCCCCAGTCAGCACAACTCGCAACGAACTGGCTGTGACTTCCAGTTCACAAGTCTGCCTTCCGAACACCCCAAGTACAGTAGGAAAGCAGCTAGCTGTCTTGTATGTATGAAAAAGTTATGAGTGTGCGACTTTCAGGGATATTATTCCACTGCACCACTATAAGGGACACAGAATAACAATGTTCATAATAACTTGGTGCACCAGCGACTGCTGCTGTTAAATGTCAAAACTATTAAAAAAAAACTTTCAGAAATTTAACAAAAGTTAGAAGTGTAAAGATAAACATAGGAGTGTATTTGTCCCATCAAGTTTCTCTCATTACCTTTTTTCTACAAAGCAGAACAGGAGCCTATTGTTTCAATTCAAGGCTTTTTATACTCTAGTCCTGTGGTGCAAAGGATGACATTAAGTCACCACATCCCCTTGCTCAGTGGTTAAATTAATGATTTATTAGTATTTTTAATAGTATCTTAGGAGGGGGGTTAACAGGTAAGCGGATAGCTGTAATAAACAAAGCATCGTCCTGAAGCTATAACCCATGTGAAAGTTTTTTTGTATTGCCATGTTGAGCTGTATCTCACACGCTTATCACTACCACCCTGTACATTAATGCTTCCAAAACATGAAAAAAATTCACAATACCCCCCCATCTTAGAAACGTGTAACAATGCGTATTTTCCACCTTTCAGAAATTAACAAAAGTTAGAAGTGTAAAGATAAACATAGGAGTGTATTTGTCCCATCAAGTTTCTCTCATTACCTTTTTTCTACAAAGCAGAACAGGAGCCTATTGTTTCAATTCAAGGCTTTTTATACTCTAGTCCTGTGGTGCAAAGGATGACATTAAGTCACCACATCCCCTTGCTCAGTGGTTAAATTAATGATTTATTAGTATTTTTAATAGTATCTTAGGAGGGGGGTTAACAGGTAAGCGGATAGCTGTAATAAACAAAGCATCGTCCTGAAGCTATAACCCATGTGAAAGTTTTTTTGTATTGCCATGTTGAGCTGTATCTCACACGCTTATCACTACCACCCTGTACATTAATGCTTCCAAAACATGAAAAAAATTCACAATACCCCCCCATCTTAGAAACGTGTAACAATGCGTATTTTCCACACTCACAATGTGTTTGTCTCTGCCGACAAATTAATCTTCCACTACAACATCTCTGAAAATACCGAGGTCATATATAATCAAATACTTACATCTGTGATTTTAACTGAGCAGTTCCTTTTGGAAGCTGATTCATGTAGAGAAAGATAGTTGTATTTTGCTTTAGGGTAAGCAGCTTTGAGCGTGGTGCCGTGCAAAATATGGATTTCTCTGTCCTCGCTGGATTTTCATTATAGAACAGCAAAAGATGTCTATAAAAATATCTAAAAAAAAGTATTAAGTAACAGTAAATATGAAAAACACTACTTTGTTTACAAATACATGGACATTCACATGATTTGAAAATAATCCAGACAGTACTAACTATAAAATGCAAGTGCACTTACATTTACATTTGCAAAAGTAAAATTGAGAAGAACTGGCTGCAAGAGAACTGGTAACTATTTGTACACACATTCTCACCTAAGTAGAGAACGTCTTGCAATAACAATGGCATGGCTGTCATGCAACACTCTTCCACAAGGTTGAAAGCACTGACTGTAATTACATTCTCCTGTTCCTAGAGCTACAACTTCATGCTGTCCACCTAAAAAGAAAACATTTATTTTGACGTGATTGTGGTGGGTTAACCTTGTGTCATGGTTTAACCTCAGCCGGCAACTAAGCCCCACACAGCTGCTCGCTCACTCCCCCCCAGTGGGGTGGGGGAGAGAATCGGAAGGGTAAAAGTGAGAAGACTCATGGGTTGAGATAAAGACAGTTTAATAGGGAAAGCAAAAGCTGCGCACGCAAGCAAAGCAAAACAAGGCATTCATTCACTCCTTCCCATCGGCAGGCAGGTGTTCAGCCATCTCCAGGAAAGCAGGGCTCCATCACGCGTAACGGTTACTTGCTGCGCACGAGCAAAGCAAAACAAGGCATTCATTCACTCCTTCCCATCGGCAGGCAGGTGTTCACCAGGAAAGCAGGGCTCCATCACGCGTAACGGTTACTTGGTACTTGGAAACGCCATCACGCCAAAGGTCCCCCCCCCTCCTTCTTCTTCTCCCCGCTTTA